AAAAAATTTTTTCTTTACTTCTTTTCAAAAAGCCTTACATTTTCTTTAACAGGCTTCATGAGTCCTCATGTCGTTAGACAAGAACAACAAAACAAACAAGCTAATTTAACAGGGCGATGTCATCTTATCAGTGATAATGATCGGAAAACTCAAAATAATACACACAGTTACTGCACAGTAGAGACTTCGAGGGCCATGCCAATGCTGTTTTTGGAAAAATGATGCAAGATGTTGCAAAAGAGTTGGCCTCTGACACACAAGATGTGTTTATCGCATTGTGTGTGTGTGTGTGTGTGTGTGTGTGTGTGTGTGTGTGTGTGTACATATATGTGTGAGAGAGATACAGAGTCCAGCTGTCTGGCTTCCAGCATCAGCAGAGTTGGCCCGAGAAGGGAAGAGGGATCACTAGGGAAAAGAGAAGGGAGGAGGAGCTGGAGGACGGTGATGGGGGAGAAGGGGGAGGGGAAGAAAAATATGAGCAAGGTGAGGGATGAGGCTCAGAGCGGGAAAGAAAAGTGTCAACACATGGGTGATGGGGAACAAGCACAAGGGTGGTGAAATATGAAAGAGGCTGCAGAGCCTAAATGTGGTTCATATTATCTGGAAATGTAATGTCACCTATAGGTTAGATTCTACATCAATATTTGAAAAAACGTATATTTAATTTATCTGAAAAACGGTCATTGTCAGATTATTTAATTTGGTTTACCACAAAGTCAATTCATATTCATTCAGACCCTATCACGCCTTCCTAACCCCATCCCCCTTCCCGCATTTTCAATCCCCTGATTATTATCACCACAGAATTATCATCCAACTCTGCAGTTCCTCTCCTAGTGATGATTGTTCTGGGCTAAGCCTCAGTGTGACCCTGCCCACAACTAACAGAGAACAATTTGTGAGCTGCGTTCAGACTGAATGTGAGTGAAAGGCAGCACGGTGGAATTCAGTTCAAGTAAATCTGAAATTAGACTCAAATTCAGCAAAACTGTTGATTCCTTCATTCATAAATAGTTTATAGAGAAAAGCAGTTCGTCAGTTCCTGTAAGCTTGCATAAAGCTGGACAACATGGCTGCACTATTGGTCCTAAACCGCACCTCCTCCATGTTAGTGGATGGAGCATGGACCAAACTAAAAAAATCAAAGAACAAATAATATTTTGTTATATTATAAATATAATATGGTTTCTGTCATTGTAGACATTGTTCTGTCAGTAATGTATTTTTAAATGTTAATTTAAGTTTGTTTTTTCATACCACGCTACCACGACTCAATTCCCTGATCACTACTGCGCAGACTCAAAGATGGCAGTGTTCTTATCTGGGATATTTTGGCTTCAATTCTGGAAAGTGGGAAGTGGAGGCCTGTCGACAATTAAAGAAATGTATTTCTGTCTCAGCTGGATGTCTAAATAAACAACTGTTTGTCAAATAAGAACGTCACCTCATTAGTTGGAAAATTACAACACATTGCCATGTTTCACACAACAGTAATATCAAACACACCTTATCCATCAAACACACATTATCAAAAGCTGACATTTCCTGTTTTCAGCCTGACACTGTTTCATTCAACAGGAAGGTGAAGACATAAGAAAACAGCTTTATGGCCACAGTGTTTTCCTTAGGTGATCAATTACATCCATCACTTACCTCTATTTACACAATCAGATTTTATTTCTTGAGCTTGTAAGCCATCAACACTCTGAAGCACAGACAGAATCTGCAGTTGGTAGTCGTTCGTGTGTGTGGGATAACAGAGCTACAGCTACGATCAGTTTGACACAGAAAAAAATGCTTAAGTGGGAAAGAAGGATTGGTTTATGGGGGCGGAGGGGAACAGTGGGAACTTAAGATCGGGAGGATGTCCTGTTTGGGTCATGTGCTTCTAACTGTGGGAAAGGGTGTGTGTGTGTGTGTGTGTG